TATATCAATAAACACATGAAAATCTAAGATAGATCTTACTATTAGTTGCATAACTTTTTTTGTAATACAGATATTGTAATACTGTATTCATTATTAAATTCTACATTACATTACCTTCAATTTGATATACAAGTATAAACGTTATACTTGTATAAACGTTTGTATTTAAGTGAAAATTAATATATTCTACAAGCACACTAAATTAAAAAACATGAAACTTTCAAAAAGTGTCCACACTTTTGGCCACCACTACAAAACTCACTTTCTATTGCTAATTTTCGCAGAAATGAAATCAAAGTGAAGTAACATATAATGGTTTAATTATAAAGCTAATTTATTATTATTTCAAAACTTTAATTCAACATATTAAATTAATAGAACGTTTTTAATTGATTGTAATAAGTAAAATAATGAATAATAAATTTTAAACACTAGGTTTTTCAAGTTAGCGAGAAAAAAAAGAGAAATAATTCGATTTTGTCAGAGTCAAAACAAGAAACTTCGGACGCATCCTATCGCCAATTTAAATTCCTCTCTGTCTCTAGAAAGTGATGCGCTTATATTTTTCGTTTTATGAAATTATTTTTTTTTCATTTTAGTCCATTTAAGAAACACAGTTTTAAAAAATTTTATTTTACATTATTTTTTCTAGCTTTGACCTGTTTAGGTTGGAAAAGGATTTAAATTTCGATTGATAATAAAAATAGAGATACATTTAGTTTACGCAGCCTGTAGGAAACAAAAGTAACTTGAATTGTCATCAAACACAGAGCTCCAGTTGAAATTGAGAGATTCTACTTATAAGGAATGGATTTGAGTGACCCGAGCCAATGAACCCCACACAGCCCAGGAGTACCAAGCAATGTGGACTATTAGACACAAGGCCCCGAGATTCTACTTATAAGATGGAAAAGATTCGAAGTTTTGTCTAATGAAAAATTCTCTTTACAGATAAAATGAGTGGTTCGGAAGCAGTCGCAATTTGTTTTGTCAATAGAATACTAGTTGATTTTGGAGTACTTCAGTGATTGAAAAATTTATTGGTTATACATCCTATATGCCGATAAAATGTTAATAAATTCTTACGTGTTGTGCTCAGGAAACGATTTCAAATGGCATTATTATTAATCACGGAGTAGAGATTTGTGCTCTCTAGCTAGTCAGAAAGTGGTGGAAATTTCAATCTCGAGTTACCATTGTTACAAACACGAAAGCAAAATAATTCAGTTAATAATAAATGCTGTAAGTAATAAGAAAATTTTCAGAAATTCGCGAAGAATTGTCACGGGCTTCCTAACATTCTGCGAGATAAAAGAAGTGTTTCTTATTTTTATTGATTATTAATTCCTGTTTTTTTTATACTGTCTTGAGCTTTTGTATATTTTTGCATTCTCTATAAAAATTCGTTAAAGTTCGAGAATTTCTTTTACGTGAATATTATTTTGAGACCCACATTAAGTATAATTTTTCTCTTAATTTTTAGCAAAAATTTAAAAAGTATACTAGACGACATTATAGAACACCCGGAAAGTATAAATCAAAATTTAAGTTATATTTTATAGGATTAAAATGAAGAGGGGGGGAAATAGCCCGTGGGTCAGGAAACTTTTTTAAAAATAAAAAATTACAGTTGTCAAAATTACAGCTGCAAAAAAAATTTAATTTTAAACAAATTGTTTATATTTGAAACCAGAATTTACCCACGTATATTAATTGATATATTAAAAAATATAATAAACTTGAAATAAATATAAATTAAATTTTGTTTTTATATAGTATTTATAATTTCAATAATATATATATTATAAAATATAATTTTATTTAAAATAAAAATTTATTATTAATATATTTAATCTAATTATATAATTCAATTTAAAATAAAAATGTATTACTGATAAATTAAATTTAATTATAAAATATCATTATATTTAAAATCGAATTTCATTAGTAATAAATTAAATTTAAGTATAAAATTTGGCACACTAATAATGCATTTTTGAAAAAAAAAATTTATTTGGTTTTTATTTATTATGCATCAAAAGATTGCAAGTTGAAAATTGAAGGTGTTTCCTCCTGCAATCAAACAGCTTTTGGTGTTGCGTACATTTGTTTTCCTGAACTGTGATTTATTAGATTTTTATAGCCCTTTTGTTTTTGTTGTTTTTTTTTTGTTTCTCCCTCTTTCTCTCAAATATTAATTTACGACCCCCTATGTGCATATATTTTTTGTCTTTATATTTGATAAGAATTCCCAGAAAAATATAAAGGTAATATTAACAGAATTCCCCGTGTACAAAAACTGTTCATTTTCTGAGAAACAACTTTATTTTGTGTGGTAGAAAAACTTACTCAGAAAAATTGCAACTATAAAAGTGTATTAATTTATTAGGAAGAAAAGGGTCCACACAACATATGTTTGTGAAAACAGAATATGAAACAAGATATTTTGTGACATCTATATATTATACAAGTATTGCTGTTGTTGTACGCTAAGATTTTCCAGTGGCGCCATCTATGGTCAAATTTATCGCGCGTTTACACCCGTTTATCTCGCGAACCCATTCATACATCCATTCATTCATCCACAGATCGTACTTTTGACCTGAACCAGAGAACGATCAATCTACAATTCACTACCCCCAGAAAGTATAATTTGTTACGGAAACATGGAGGACTTTGTGACCCACCAGATTTAAAGTGCGTGAGTCATCATTTACAACACGGGCGTCATCGGCAAGCTGGTTTCGAACTCCCGTTCTAAAGAATGTGATTTCAGCGTCCTGCCGACCAGGCTATCCCGGCCATTGTATAAGTATTAAATAAAATATATCTGCATAAGAATTATACTGAACCTGGCTTTTAATGTTAAAATGGTGCTAAACATGAAATTAGTCCAACTTTTATCGTAAATTTATAACAACGTTTAATTTTTTCAAGGGCCCTAAGAAATTTTTAATTGGGGATTCGGAAAATTCGAATATTCAGTTTTAATAGCTGTGCCCCGAAAGTACTACTACTACTTATTTTTTGCTTTCGACTAAAATAACGAATCGCCGAACCGCATTTAGAATGTTTTAAAATGAATAAGCGTAGACATCTCTAGTTTCAAAAATAAACTCTTTACTAAAATTTGAGTTTTCCCAATATTTAATAATAAAATAGATTTTACGCTAGTTCGTGAAGCTTACATTTCTGAATATTGTATGTACATGCAAAGTGGATCAATGAATACAGTACATAAAAAGTAATAGTAATGAAAAATTTAATTATTTTACCTGATTTCTATGTACCAAAATATATTTGTAATATCTAGAAGTTAAAGTAAAATTAAAATTTTAGCAGCCTCATTTAGCAACACTTTTTTTAATATTTCCCGGTTCTGGACACATATATTAAAAATGAATAATTATGGGGTTACACTAAATTTTTAACAGAATACGCGCACTCTTTTAGAATTAAATCACAGTTAAATTTTTTTGTATTACTAATTTTTCAATTCACAAAATTACATTAAATTTAATTTTCATGATATTAAAATATTTTTTTAACACCTGATGTTTAAAACCTTATCTAATTGAGGTAAGCTTGACTTTTTTTTTTTTTTTAATCCGCCTGCGTCGAATCCAAGTTTGAGATTGCTTAAGTCTGATAAGGGCAAAATTCGTGAAGAAAATATTAAAAAGAGAATTGCCATTATTTTTGGATCTAAAGATTTAATACATCTTAATTTTTTTCTCTTAATTAGTATTTTTTACGCTTAGTAATTGAATCATTATGGATATTTTCATACGTGTTTGAAAGTAATAAGGAAGTAAATACAAATTTTTATCATGAGCCTGATGTCAGGCGGAGATCGAGTCAGCCGGAGCATGTCTTATGTCGTTCTATCTCGATATCATTCTTATCAATTGTCGCATAATTTTCCTCGTTAACTCAGAGTCATTCTCGATGAAAGTCAAAAATTCTTCTGTCTCAATTATATCTATTCCTTCTTTAACTAAAAAGTTAATAGCTGTTACTTCTAAATCTTTATCCACATGTCTATCCGCTAATTGAAGTATTTGCAGCAAATTATCCTTGGATAAATTTCTTGCCATATTCTCGGAACATAATTTTTTTAAATCAGTCATTGCATATTTATCAGCAGCAATATACACTTCGGTAACTTCATCAATCGATACAGCTCCTATAGAATGAAAATAAATGTACTTCAAAATTTCACCTACTGTGTTTGGTGTAATATCATTTATGCAAATCTCGCTCTGAGATTTTTCCAGCATTTCGTGTTCGAACATAGCAGCAAAAACAGGAGAATGAGAACACAGCAATGTCTTATGAACATTAAAAAATTCTTCACCAACTCTGAGCACCACTTTAGAGTCTGTATCATCTGCTAGCAAAACGTCTAAATGTTCGTGCAGTTCTTGAGAGGACATATTCGTTGTATAATCTTTCATCTTCTTCTGAATATCAGCTGGATTTTGAAACGGAGTACAGGAAACATTGATTGTTACTGTGCATCTGATTTCCAAGCGGGGTAAAATAACTGAAGATGAAGCAGAAATGTGGTTGATGATCACAGGACAAGATAAATCTTCGTTTGGTATCTCCATTTCTTCCTTCTGGCACAAATCACATGACGGATCTTCAATCAGAAATTTGATTTTTATCGTGGAACACAAGGCATTAAAAGTTGCTCGATTCCTTACCAGTTTGTTGATTCTCAGCAAGTATTTACCGTTTTCAAAATTCAGTGATAAATAAATGAAGCAATTTGGAAACATTGGCACTCTAAATATATCACTGCATAACGAATGTTCTGCATTTTGAAGTGTGTGATATTTTTCTACGATCCATAAAACAGAACGAGATATAGATTCTGTTCGTAAAATTCCCCGATTCGGTGCATTTAAAACACCTGCTCGTATATTTTCAAGGCCGTTCATTTTTCTGTGATGAAATACAACAAACACCTTTTTGGCAATCTTCGTCAGAGAACACTTGAAAAGGTTCTCTTCACGCAGACGATAAATGAAGTCATTTATGATGTCACCAGTAAGTTGAATGTGTATCTAAAAATAAACTCGAAAAGTTGGCAAGGCATGTTTAAGTCAGGGGAATAAATTACCTTGTTCCTTCCAAACTCCATTTTTAACTCATAACTTGAAATACATATCAGATTGGCTGTTGGTAGTGAAAAAACAACATTAAAATGAAAGTCTTCAGAAAAATTATTTTAATACTTCCTATTTTACTAATAACTAAAATTTTTGGTGAAAATAAAATCATTGATTTTTGCTTATTTATTTTCGTTACAAATTCAGAATAGCTGATTATTTTCTAAAACTTTTTTAGAATTACGCTTTGATTTTTGAGAAACAATGTTTTTTGTGCAAAGCAAGCGTTCATATCAAAATGTAGGAAGTGGTAATAAATATATGGATCGATGATTAGAATATAGAATTTATTGGCCCAAAAGCTGGGATTGGGTACACGAAGCCAAACTTAGGGGTGATGTAGTGCAGCAGATAGAATAAAAAGGAAGTGAACTAATGGCTATGCAGTTAATTTTTTTGTTTTATAACACAAATTTATTATTTTTATTTCTTAGCCAAGTTTTTGCTCGCAACAACTTAGCAAAGCGTAATAAAAATATTCCTTTTTTCTTGCACTAATCAAGCAATCATGTGAAAATGTAGAAATTGAAAGTTAATTTTAAGCTTGCGAAATTTTATTACAACTTACATTTTAATGTTTGTACAGAACAGATGGATCAATAAATGGAATAGTGTTTAATGACTCAAATGCTAAGATAGGCTGTACTGAGCGAATATTAAAGTAGGCATTATATAGCCGACAGAACTAAAGATAAGAGAACTAATAGGTATGACTGTTAATTTTTAACCTTATAACTGGAATTCGTTATCTTATTTTCTACGTCTGTTTATTTGCGGTCATCTGGTGGACATTTTGAATATTTCTTACAATTATTTGCACTGCGGGTTAAATTTGAAAGGGTCACATATGAAAAAAGGCGAATTTCAATTTTCGAAAATACTCATATAGCAAACAGAAAAATCATAAGAATAATTTTATTCTATTTTTAGGGTGTTTCTCATTGTTATATGGTACTGTAAATAGAGATGCAAAAAATCCAAAATTTTGAAAAATAGGAAAAAACTCTGGAGGTTTAGAGATTATAGACAGGATTTTAGAAAATTTCGAAAGTTAACAAAACCGGCATATTTTCAATATGAATTGAGAGATTAATGTATGCAATGTAACAGCTGTAATGTGAGAAGAAAAAAAAACATTTGCATTTGCTTAATTTAATTACATTATTCAACTTAATTGACTTAGATTTCAATATATTTTTTTTCTTCTCAATACTTAAACAATCATGTAACACTTTATAAAAGTAAATTTTAAAATTAATATATTTAACTTTATAAATTAATTGAAAAAATTACTGAAAATAATTTTTTTTAAATTCAATATTTTTCAAAAAATATCAGCTAAAAACATATAACATGACTACTAAGAAAAATAAGAACTTAATTTTTTTATTAATCACTGACGCAAGAAATAATAAAAATTCCCGAAAATGAACCGAATTTTTTTACTCCTATTGCCATTTTAAGTAAGAAATAAATAAACTAATAGATAAAAAATAAATAAAAAAAACTTCGCGTCAGATACAATTTTGAGAATTCAAAACAAATTAATAAAGTAGAATTTTGTCAATTTCTTATAAGATAGAACAGTTAATCTGTACTTACAAACGTATTTTTGATTAAAATATTATTAAATTATATTTTGAACCGGATAAATGCGTTTTATCTTTGTTGAAAGAGGATAAACATAAATGTTTACATTATTTTTGAAATGTGTATTCTCATTTTAACCTATATTAAACTAATTTTTAATGTATCAATCCTTTTCTAAATAGTTTATAAACTTTTAAAAAAATTATATGTTCTTTTCCTCCAAAACCATATTTATTGATTTGCTCTGTGTTAAATCATGCTACAAAATTTACTGATTTATAGTGTTCATTGGTTCATAAAAGTCATCAGACTTTTCGATGTATTTAGTTTTAAACGTTAAATTTATCATAGTTTAACATAATAACGTTTAGTATTGAACATATTTTCAGCCATGTATTATTTTATTGTTTCAAATTGCATTAATTATTTGTCTTGAAAAGAGTTGGAAATTTGCTTTCAGTGTGCTTTTTAATGTGCTTTTTAATGGCTTTTTAATGGCTAACAATTTAAAAATATGTCTTGTTATATTGTCTGAAAATTTCATATGAAATTGTGAAGATAATTCAGTGACTATCTAACTTTAATTAAACTATTTTTTTTATTACTAAATGTTTTAATCTCAGTAGAACGGGTGTATTATCTTCATATATCAAGTCCTGGTAAATAACATAAGTTTCTAAGAACTTTTATCGGTTGGAGTTTTGTTATGAAAAAAACAGATACTTTAAAATCTTTAGCATACTTTTTTTTAATTAAGAGTTTTCCTAGATGTATCGAAAGTATTGCATTAGATTTTATTCTTGTTTCAATGTACCTGATTTGTTGTGATTTTAATTTTAACAAGATATTACAAATTCAAACTAGCTGTTATATTTTTAAAGGTTATTAAAAAAATAAACATTACGTGAATTTATCAGTTCTGATTACATTTTTACTAACATTGGGAAATATCTATAAGAACCTTAAAAGCGTAAAAATTGCTAGCTATACTTTTAATCATAAATGAAGTTTAAAAAATCACCCACAATAGCCCAAATGCTACAGTTAAAAATTATATATTTCTGGATCAAATGTATCCTTTAACGTTTTTTTCCCCTTCTTTTTTTAAAAATTGTATGGGAACAAAATCATTTTTTAAATTTTTTTCTTAAGTAGGTTCAAAAATTTTTGTCATGAAATTTTTATATCCTGTAGAGCAGGGGTTTTTAACTTACATGAGGCCAGGGTCCACAATTAAAAACACAAATCAAATGGCAGGCCGCAACTTTATCAAAATTTTATGTAGGACTCTTTTATGTTTGAAGGAACATTAAATATTACTGTCAGTCTTTCACCAAGTTGTACAAAAGTATTGAGTTACAAATTAAAATAAAAAGAAGATTTTCAAAAATATTTCATTGTTATTAATAATAGTTAAAAAAATATTAAATAAATAATAAAAATTTGGGCTACAATAACTGTAATGTGCACCAATGTATTAAACAATTAATGTGCAACAGATATCTAATTGTTCAGATATAAAACTTTAAAAAGTTTGGTATTAAAACTTACATAGTAGCACACAAAATGTTCAATGACAAAATTGAGGTTTGTCTGCTGCAACCACCAGAGAATAGATATTTACATTTTAAATTTACAAATGTATGCGTAAATATTTTTGTCCAAAATGAGTGGTTTCAAAAAGTTAAATCGGAGAATTTCTTCGAGAAAATTTCTGATATGCACACGCTAAATTATATTCACAAAATACAAAAACTTGAAATAAAAAAGAGCAACATGCACGATTATTTTTGTATTTGAATTAAATATTTTCTTTTATGCAAAACCTGAGAAATAAATTTCTTTGTACCGTTGGTATGCTAAATTTCACAGAAACGAAGAGATTAGATTTTTATTAACGAGAAAAGTATTTTAAACTCATGTAGATTTTTTACGAAAATTGTCCGCAAAAAAATAACAACTAATATATTTTAGTTCGTGGNTATATATATATATATGATATTATACATAATATACACTTTTCTTTAATTTAAACTTTACTCGTAATAAAAAAAGCATTTTAATTTTTATTGTATCATTTCTAATATTTGGCGACACATTTTAAAAATTTGGCGGCACACAAAAGTGCCGCGGCACAGTGGTTGAGAATCACTGGTTTATTTAACATTAAGGCGAGGCTTAAATATATTATTTGTTTAAAGAAATTTAAATTAATATTCCTATCAAATGAGTTATACGGTAAAATTACTTAGAAATAACGCGTGTGAAATATTTTCTTTTTGAAAAAAAGAGGTCTCACAATCATAACACATTAAGAATATTACAAATTTATAGTAAAACATACAGTAAACTCCATCTCCATAAAAGTATGTATGGGGTCTTGCCGCTGAAACACGCTTTATATAAACATCTAGAAACCACGTTTTAATTCAAATTAAGATAAAAAGAATTTGAGGCAATATAGTGATTAAGCCAGATTTTATTTTCAAAGTTGATAATTTGACATCAAGCTGTTCCTTAGTATTGTTTCGAAAGATTTCCTATAAAATTTGGCGAAATTTTCACCAGATAATAACTCAGTAAGCGAAAACATCATACTGCCTACATGGTAATCGTGATGTTTTTAAACAAAAACAGTCCCATGAACAATTTAAAAATATGGCTTGTCATATTGTCCAAAAATTTCATATGAAATAGTGTTACAATTTCAAATAAAAATTGTGAAGATAATTCAGTGACTATCTAACTTTAATTAAACTATTTTTTCTATTACTAAATGTTTTAATCTCAGTAGAACAGGTGTATTATCTTCATGGATGAAGTCCTGGTAAATAACATAAGTTTCTAAGAACTTTTATCGGTTGGAGTTTTGTTATGAAAAAACAGATAGTTTAAAAGCTTTAGCATACTTTTTTTTTTATTATGATTTTTCCTAGATGTATCGAAAGTATTGCATTAATATTTTATTCTTGTTTCAATGTACCTGATTTGATATGATTTTGATTTCAACAAGATATTACAAATTCAAACTAGCTGTTATATTTTTAAAGGTTGGTAAAAAAAAAAAAAAAAAAAAAAAAACATTATGTGAATTTATCAGTTCTGATTAGTCCCGCAGTGGACTAATTGTTAAGACACGGTTCCCAGCAGATCACCGAAATCAAACATCACTGGCTGTGGTCACTGTGGGGGTGGGTGACCACTTGGATCAGTCTGCGTAGGGACCGAGGGTGTGCGGTATTGGTCAACGTTAAACTGTGTTACCGTAAAGTGCCCGACTTCGCGTGCAGGTCGTTGGGCTTCCGAAGCGGGGGTGCCATCCCCTCTGCAGAGGATCAAAATATTGATGGCATGTCTTCCGATCATCCTCAGTGATGTTTCGCAGACCGTCGCCAATAGCCCATTGTGCAGCTCTAGTGCGACGTAAATAAATTAC